AATACACCCCCAATGTGCTCTATAAAAATCATTTGGTATACCGTCTATCCCCGGTGTTTTCCCAGTACTCATCCCTAAAACTGCCTCTTCCATCTCAACCTCACTTATACCACTCTCCAACCCCACTCTATCCTGCTCACTTAAAACACTATGGAACCCCCCTCCAAAAATTCCCTCCCAGGAACCCCCCTCCCTCCTACTCCATTTCTCCCTAAACCAACTATCAGCATAGAGACTCATACTTTCCGTGTTGGATAGGACCCAACCCTCTGGATACCCTCCCACCCCTGGGCTTGTCTCCAATTGTAGAATGGCGGTTACCGTCTGTCGGTCTCGAAATTTATGTAAAACAAACCCGGACGGCTTATCACCCCACAATACATCCTCTAACCCCGCCTTAACCCTGATTGCATCAAACCTATCATTATGTAATTCAGCTATTCTACTCCGAAGACTAGCCATGTCATCCCTCCTACCACCTCCCCCATCATAAGTCTTGCAACTGTCCCTCCAGATAATTTTGCAACCCAGAACGCCACCTCGCCTCTTTTCGTCCCCTAACCTTAAAAAAATTTGCTATCTCAGGTTTGGCCTCCATTTCCCACCAATCTAACAGATCTATCTCCCTATCCCTAGCCTCCCAAAAATGCAACCACCAATCACTGAAAAAAGGCCCCTCCCCCTCCTCCTTAAGAAGCCTTACATTTAATTTCCAGTACCCAGAATAAATATGCACTACTCCATCCCACATCAGATCTGCTATTACCGCCCTGTGATAAGAAAACCCCACATCGAAGGTTTGCACCCTCACAACATCTATACCCTACTTAATATAGATTCTGTCCAATCGCACCTCATATCCCCTACGGACGAACTTGTGCTCCACTAGGTTTCCCCCCTCCCCTCCACATCAACAACCCCAATATCTCGCAATACATCCCTCAGAACACTCAACACACAACCCGCCCCTCTCCGTTCGACATCACTACTCCGTATCACACAGTTCCAATCACCTCCTATTACTGTTATAGCAGGCAAACCTCTCAAGTGATACAGCAATACCTCCCTGACAAAATATACTTTTACCCTGGTATTGCTAGTTCCTGGCATGTAAACACCTATGAAACTAGCCTGACTCTCACCCCAGACACCATCCACCCTCACGACCCTCCCACCCCCCCCTCTTCCCAACCCATGACATTCAAGGGGCTGGTCTCCTTTACCGCCACTGCTACCCCACCTTTCAATTGCAAACCACTGCTAACATACATCTGATATCCTTTCACCCTCAACTCACATCCAGCCCTGTGATTGTGCTCTTGCAAAAAACAAATGTCGACATCAAACCGCCGTAAAAACCACGCCAACCAAACTTTCTTGACCTCTGTCTTAAGGCCATTAACATTAAGTGTGACACATCTGAAATTTATAGAAGGGGCGGCTTTCCCCTATGCCGCTGGGATTTACTCACTGCACTTTTCACATTGCGTGTACCTTTGTCACTCGATTTTTCCTGTACAGTCACCTCCCCCCTCCCTCTCCCACTGTGCAACTCAGGCGCGCCTCTACCACTATGAGACATCGGCTCCACCACCGCTGCCCATGACTTCTTCCCAGGCCTCTACCCCGGGGTGATGACCTCGTCTATCTCTGACGCAGCAGTTCTTTTCCTAGAACTTCCGCTTACACACATATCACCATCAGGCGAATCCTCCTGGTGTACCTCCACGACTACCACACGCTCCAGTCCTTTCTTACTCAAGGCTTCCTCCACGTTTTGTTGTCCCTCCAGTGCTCCGTCCTCACATAAACTGAGGACACCTGCACAGGGCTCCTCCCCATCCAGAAAATCCTTGATCACATCCTCCAATAACCCATCCTGGGTCGAAGCTTCCTAGACTAAAGACTCCTCAGATGTCACCTTCGTCTTCCCCGACGCCCCTGAGAGAGTGACACACGTCTCTGCCGCCGCCGCCGCCACCTCCCTTTCGACCTCCTCGCTCCAGAGGTCAGTTCTCCGTCCTCCGGAAGCACCAGAGCCAGGCACCAAATCACACGGCTGCTGAATCACAGTTGGAGTCCCCAGAACTCAAGGAGCCTGCCTCCTAGGACACTGGGCTGTCATGTGCTCATAAGAGCCTACACAAACGACATATTTTCCTCTGACCAGCATAGTACACAAAAACCTATGTTCTATAACCGGTCATCGTAACATAGGATGGTATAGGCCTTGTTAAAGACATTTTGAGGGTGTAAGAACCCTCCGGCAGCCCTTCATACGGACCATCCCTCCACACTCCCATGGTTGCAGAATGCACTGTCCCATAACTGCTGAAAAACTCCTGTAGACCATATGCCGTAGCCTCGAAGGGTACATTTCATACCTTCACCCATGTGAAGTGCTTAGAGACGTCATGTAAAACGACATCCACCGCTGAATTCACACTCACGCGTTGTTCCTGGTAATGCTCGACAATTCTTGTGTAGAAGCCGGCTCGTACAAATTTCACGAAGATTCTTGTTAAACCATTAAGAGAGATGCCATACAATTCCTCATTGGGAATACCATATGCATCCCTGATGATGCCAGGGAGAAGGACGTTCATCGTAGCGCCACTTAATGTACCACGAACCAGCTCAATGCAGACAGTATTTATTCTCCGTCCTGTACCTTCCGCCATTTTGATATCCAAGTGAAAACAGGTAAACTGCGCAAAAGCCAACTCAATCAGGAGCGTCTGCGCAGGACGTCCACATGGCCCGTGAGCGATGAGGACAATGATGAACTGGACTTGCCTACCGTGTACCAGTAGGCCTGCTGCAGTGCTCTTTCGTTTTTATGTTCAGTGGAGATTTATTCTTGAGTAAGTCTTTAGATCCAAGGAAGTGCAGCTACCCTTAACTTCCTCGAATCACACCTTATTACTTCCCAATCCTTAGGCATTGCATACCCTTTAGGAATTTAGTGCTTCCCCATAAATGACCCTTATGGATTTGGCTCTTCCCCATGAGAGCATTTTTTACATTTGAATACTTGAAAATCTAGTGACCTATATATGTTTACCATTGTTTGTGAACATAATTAATATAAACTGCAATGTTGAAGTGATCAATAAAGAATAAAAGGTTAGTGTTAATTATTACTCCGGAGTTATATTTTCAATTAAGTATAACGTCCCCAAATATTAGTGTAATGTGCCTGCGTTCATATTCGTATTATAACCATTTATATACAATTATGGGATTTATAGAGGGCATCCCATCAGTTGGCGAGGATGTCATGGTCCCAGTGAAGGTTTCTTGATCCAGGGGCTACAAATACCTGGGCGTCTATATCGCCAGCTAATGTAGATTTCAACAAAGTGCGAACTTTATCAGCAAAATTATTCTCGCCCTACCTCAAAACGACTCGGATCCAAAAAATAAAAATAGCATTACCATAATATTGGACAGTCTTAAAAATATCATGTCACAGTAGCCTAATTTCGCATACTGCATCGCCAGCTGATGCAGACAAAAAAAAAATGTAAGCTGTCAACAGGATTATTCTCACCCTGCGTCAATTTGGACTCGAATGCGAAAAAAAGTAGTTCCATAATGACTCCGTAATAAAAATATCCTAATTTCTCGTACTATAAATAAATCTTTACATAGAGCGTATGTTTATTGAAGAGTATGTGTGTATATATAGGAGTTTTACTTTAATCAATCTCCTCACTGGGGTCCCTTGGAATTAGAGCTAGCCTTCCATTCCTTGGATCAAATTTTATTCTCCAGGCTCTATATGACCCACATGGGTCTATCACCCCCTCATGAATATGAAGTAATAACTAGGAATACCACTTCTGCCATCAGTCACATTTGTGGAAAATTACATTTATCTGGATGTAACTCATAATGTACATACCAGTAAATAACAAAGATAATTATTATTTATCAATGTTACATAGACAAGTAGGAATTTCGGACACCTAGGTCGCAAAAAATGTCCCCCTTCGATACCTACCACTGTCATATCCACAAGTTGCTCTGGACCTATTAATTATAAATGAAATATACATCACCAGGAATGCTGGTAAATATATAAATTTGTGGACTGTATATTAAAAATAATAAATGATTATATACACATATACATAACAGAAGGAGAATATCTTTATCATAACACTCACCAATTTGACTGGAGATTAAGGTGTATTATACCCAGAAAACCTCACAGTCTAAATTTATGAAATTACTGGCCAGAATTAAACATAAACAGACTTATCTGAGGTTCCTGGAGCTGTCTTGTCCAGTCGCCTGATACTCAAATTATGCAGGAATGCACATCCAACAATTTCGCCTCCTATTTGAGAGGTCCCCTCAAGGAAGGTTCCTTGATGTTGGTGAGGGGCTCTTGATTTAGGGAATTGGATCTGTGCTCCAGTTCCCCGAATTAAGCCTGAATGCCTTCCACATCCCCCCCAGGCGCTGTATAATCCTCCGGGTTTAGCGCTTCCCCTTGATTATAATAATAATAATTGAGAGGTGTCAGCCCAATTTTAACCTTTAGAGCACGAAAAATTCTTCCCATTGACTCTAACGTTCTGTTCAATTCAAATTAACAATGGCGACTCTCCTGCGCAGACGCAGGCTTTCCATTTCTCTGACAAAATTTATTAAATACAGTATGGCCATCTATTTACATATAACTATTGTATTTCTGGAAAATATATACAGTATTTTCCACAACATTCCTCCCCACGATCGCTATCGTACAATTATCACCATCCCGCCATAATTACCCCACCACAATCACCACCGGCACACCACCACAATTACTACATCACAATCGCTGTTAGTACCTCCCATCACTCCACAATCTCCACGGCTACTATCACACTCACCAGTCCACTATCACATTCCACTATCACCACACAAAGATTACAACCCCCATAGCTACACTCACCACAAATATCAGTAGTATGTTGATATATACTGATTGTCTATATATTTTTCAGCTGATCAAACAGATGGCTTGCGAGGAAGGTTGCAGCAAGTTGGGTTCTTTTCTTCATGATGATGCCAGTGAGATTGTTGAGGACGTTGCATCTCTTGATCTTTATATATGTTATGAAGGTATGGTTAATAAAAAGTAATACATAGTTTTTTTGGGGATGTAAGTGATTGCATGATTTTATCAATATCGTAAAGAACTTTTCATTATGCATTTCTTTTAAGATATTTGCACTAACAGTAGGGATGAGACGATACCAAAATTTTTGTCCATACTCCTACTCACTTTTTGCATGATGCCGATACCATCAAAATTAGGGGATACCCAGCAATACTGATACCGATACTCAGTTTTAGGTTTATACCGATACGCAACCTTAGGCATATACCGATAAAGCCTTAGGCCTATACCGCTATGCAGTCTGTACATATGCTAAAGTGTAGGCCGATACCGATACTCAGAATTAGGCCGATGCCGATACTCAATTCTAGGTGGATACCAATATTATCAAGATTAACTGATACCCATCGATATCAATACCGATATTTTGGTACACCTTTAATTGACAATATAAAGTTATGGAAATTGAAGGTTTGCTATACCTAAGGAGTTTACGTTATGAAAAAAAAACGTTATAATAATTTGATTAGTTAACTGCATGAAGCTAATTTCAGCAAATTAGTTAGCTGGGCACTTTATAGCCAGAGCTGTATAATCTAATTTTCTTAAAAATAAACTATTTTTTACTTATATACATATTTTCGCGTGAATCAACAAGATGTGAAAATTTTAAATTTTCACCAAAACTAAGCATCCTAAGCTATCTTCTTTAAATTATACATAATTCACTATTGTATAGTTGAATCCTGCCTAGCCTACTCTAACAGGAATAGTCACTGAACTCTATAGATTGTGGATGTACACATACACATAACTACCTGCTTGATTGTTCCCTCTGCGTGACTAATGGTGTACTGCTAACTGTAGAGAACATTTTTAACTGCCCGTGCTTTGGCCTTCCAATCAAGCTAAGGATTTTAATTACAGGGGTGCCTATAGGGAACAACACTTTTATTATTATTAATTAATAATAATAATAATTATTATTACATTTACATGACCCATAGGGGTCATTCAGCTCCTGGAAAATGGGAGGCAGTCATGTTCGATCCAAGGAAGAGGAGAACAAGTCGAATTCCTTCGATCAAGAGCCCCTCATTAGCATCCAGGAACCTTCCTTGAGGGGGAAAGGGAACTGGAAAGTTTTAGGGGTTTCTCATTTTGACGTTGACTATGTGCGTTTGTTCGTGAAAATAACTTTTATTACATAGCGTCGTCTTTGGTATTCTTACGTAGGTTCGTATTTGCATTTTGTTGTACTTTGAGCCTAACATGCCATGAGATTGGAACTACTCTTTATTAGTTTATAACATTAAAGTATGAAAAATATAAATAAAAATATAAAGGTAAAAAATCCCACTTTCGCTTAATGCGATTAGTTTGTGTACATTTTTTTATATAATGTATTTATCACTAATATTTTACTTTTTAAATCCCACGTGTACTTATTTCAATGCGATTAGTTTGTGTTATTGCCATTTTTATTTCATTTATCACGTACTTTTTTTTTATAGGATGCGGAAGGAAGTATGCAAATTCTCCAGATCTTGCAGAAACATGCAATAGAGGTTGTGACATGTATGTAACCAAATGGAAGGAAGCTAGGTGAGAAAATACATAATTTTTTGTATTGCAGTAATATTATTAAAATTGCAAATCATTTTTGTAGTCCGGACAATAAAATTATAAATGGATGCCCGTAAATTGAGTATGGCATTATATTATCTACCTGCCCACAATGACTAGATAGTATCTGCCCCTCCAGAGATTGAGCTCGATCTTGTCTGTAGCGATTGCCAGTACAAATTTTTCCCTAAGTGACTAGGCGGTATTTGAATCTTCAGTGATTAGCCGGTTTCAGATTTCCCTCAGTGATTGGACAGTATCTAGTCACGAGGCGTGTATAGTGCTTCTTCCAGTTCTTATGAGTTTGCATATCAAACATGTATACATTAAAAATAATTGGGCACCTTTTTCATTTATTTTTTTATCTATTTTTCAGTCAGTTACAGTAGACCAAAAATCCCAAGTCATTGCAACAGAAGAAAGAAAAGGGAGTTTTAATAGAACATGTTATGCATCAAGAAAACCTACCCATGGTTTTCAATAACATTTAGTAATTTTTATTATATTTTTCAAATAGTGTATTGAGCTGTTAAAGATTAAGTTTTATGATTTTTTTCTAATATTAATAGGTGATTTTTTATGATAGAAAGGGAAAAAAGTTTATGAGTAGTAATTGTAGTGACAGTATTATGAATGAAAGATTTTCATATAATATTGAATGAAGCTTTGTTCTTAATATAATGGGATGACTTATAGAAGTCTTAAGTGAATCCTTTAATTTTTTTTATTCACGAAGTAAATGATGCACATATATGTGTATTAGTAAAGATATTAAGGTGCAGTTGTAGTCATTGGTAGGATTTTTATTCAGGCAAATAGTTTTCCTTGAAGCATGTAGTATATAAAATGATTGCATAATATTATCTCTTTGTGTCATATTGAAATAGAAGAGTTAATGCAGACGATATTATTTTAATTTTACCATGTAACAAATATTGTATCTGGATAATCGTATTTCATTTTTCAAAATTTTTAATAGTGAAAATTTATTGTTTATCACCTCTAATATATATTCATAATTTTTAAAGAGGTGGACCGGTAAGCCAATGTAAGGCCTTGTCAGATGACCAAAAGCTCCAACGGCGGGTCATCTGACAAAGACCCGCGTCAGGAAACACTTATCCTGTTTCTTGACAAACCTTACCTAACCTAACCTATCACCTGATTAATTTCTGTTGAAAAGGTCGCATTAATCCATGAATAATTCATTGTTTATCACTTGCCTGTTTGTGTTGAAAACGTAGCATTGATCATGAATAAGCTCCCAGGACATCAGTATAGTATGAGACTAATCCCGTCTCTGTATATTTTTTTATTATCTAAGATAACCTTGTCATATGGGATACTACTGAACAATGACCTCATTATTACCTTTAATTATATTATAGATGTTTGGAAGTAGTGTACTATGAAAGCTGAATGACCATGCTGTTTGGTGACATTAGACTCCATTGTCGAATGTCGACCTATCTACGAAGGCAGTTAGTGTCAGTATCCTGTTGGGTGTACAGGTCTTCAGCTTTCTTTGGATAAATCTGCTTTTGTAGGAAGGTGTTAAATTTTATTACATTCCGTAGGTGTCACACACTCTTGAAATGGGAGATAAGTTTGATCTGAGGAGGGGAAAGAAAGCTCCAGTTCCTTGAGCCGCCTTCGGCTTTAAAGTATCTCTGAAATCCTCAAGGGAGGCTCCTTGATGCTGAGGGGTTCTTGATCCCTTGCTACCTTGCCCTTCCTAGGAGTAAAGATTTTATTTAAATCTGATTGCTTCCCATTCCCCAGATCCCTGCAAGCTTATTTCTTCCCTCTTAAATGTAATAATGAAAGTAATAAAAATAGCCACCGACGTGAAATGACTGAAAAAATGGTTCTCATCTCATTGGACTATATAGAGAAGCAATAATTTTTACCTAATGGATGCTGTCTTGTAAATGTCCTTGGCAACAACAGCCTATGAAATGTCCACTTACCTACACGTCGTTAATTTGAGCATTTTTTAGTACTCCTTAATTTCTTTAGAGCTTTACCCTGCAGTCGGAGGATAATCTGGCAAAAGAGAGATTGAATGAATGATGGCAAATATTTTCTTAGGATCACCCTGTCTTGGCAGGAGACGCCCACATTCCAATCAGGTTTAACGGACTAAACATACGTACAACCTCTCAAATTGTCTTGCCAGTCTTCTTATCCTCCAATGGATACATCGAGCTAGCGAAGGAAATTTCCGCCAGAACATATGTGCAATCTACCAGGGCTGGATGAGGCCAGCTTCATTAGTGCGTGGAATACCATGTCAGCACAGGCGAGACTTGGCTGAAACGGTGGTACACAAACTCCAGTTGGGACAATTCCCACCATGGAAAAGGCTGCTTCAGCTATGTTATTAGTGGATGCTGCAAGCGAGAAAGCTCATCTTTTAGCCGTGAGTGTACATCACTGGTAATGTTCTACTAACATTTACCATTTCTGCGACTGGCAAACTCCTGGACCCTTTATATTGCAGTGTCTCACCTTGCTGCTGTCTTCCAGATCTCTGCTAACTGGCCCATATCTATCGACTTATTGTAGAAAGTACTGTATGGAGTGTAACGTATTGCCTCGACGGAGGTCATGAGTTTTTTTTTTTTTTTTTTTTTTTTTTTTAAGATTTTTTTTATGGGGATCGTTATTACATTCATGGGGAGCTCTAAACCCGTTGGGGTCGTATATTTCCTAGGGGAAAGGTAGGCATTCATATTCGATTCAAAGGAAGTGAGGGCGAGTTCCAATTCCTTGGCTCAAAAGCTCTCAACGGGTGGAGTTTCCTAGACTGAGCAAAGTGAGTCAACGTCGTTGATGTTTTTGACAGATAGCTGAGAGCGAATGATCGTGAATCGTGGCTACGTAAGCCGGTTCCATGGTGAAGGTGAAGCGCGGGTTAGAAGGTATACGAAAAACACCAGTACATAGTTCAGGAAATGTGATTGTTCGTGATTCCTAATTCTGAAGAGAGTCCATGTCTACTTGGGGGTCAATAGAGGGTGTCTCAGTTACTGGGGATACAGAAGACTGGTATTGTGTCATTCATCAGGAAGTGCTAAACTCGTAGGTTCAGTTAAAGGAAGGAAAATATAGGTCTACGTTCCTGGATCAAGAGCCCCTCACCAGCATCAAGGAGCTCCCTAGAGTAGTTCACACCTAATGCCAGGATGGTGCCTACATAGCTGAATGAGCAAGGCCTGGTAAAACTCTGTTTAGACAATAGCACCAACTGTGCAATCTAGTTTCAGCTAATAATGGCAACAGGGAAATCGGAATAAATGCCGGGAAACACATTCGTTTGCTACTCGTAGATCCACAGTACTATTTCCGCCATCAGAGGTCCTGCCAGATGGCCACCTGTTGTCTCACTGAAGGGTCGCGTCAAGCGACCCTTCGGTAGAATAACAGCCACCACAAAACTACTGAGGAGCACAAAAACACTTTTGGAGGGCGATTTCTATTCATCTATTAGTTGGATTTAACAAAAAATCTTCTTAGGGGAATATTCAGGCTCAATCCTAGGAAGAGGAGAAACGAGACTCACCTCGACAAAGGATAAGTTTTCACGAGAAGTCTAAAGAAAGATAGGTATAAAACTACGGTACAAATTGAACTTGAAAATAACACCGATGTGAATATTCGGTACTAATAGTGTGCCATCTTGATGAGAATACCATTCTTTACCACCGTATAATAGTGTTAGGTTCCGTACAATTCATGGGGCTCATAAGCCCATAACAGTTGCGTACAGTAGAACCAGGAATGAGAGTCAATCACATTCGATCCGAGAAGGGAGAGGGTAGCTCCACTGAAGGACATTTGGTTTAAAGTCGATCACCTACAGTAAAGTGAAAGTGTTTCTTTTTTTTTGCCACCCTGTCTCGGTGGGAGACGGCCGACGTGTTAAAAAGAAAAATAAGGATTAAAGTATCCTTGACTGGTGATGTACAAGTGACATGGATTCTTAGTAACCCTCTTGTAATCGATAGGTTTTAAACCTAATAAACCAACCAACCAACAGTCGAGGATGCTGTAATCCCTAAAATAAGTTAAAACTCTCAGCGTATATACACACACCTATTAGTGCATATACACTGAGTTTCCACACTTCTCGGTATATATCGTATAGACACACGCTTCTAGGTAGTGTATCGATACTTCTCGGTATATATGGAGATGCACACCTCTCGATGTATGTAAACATACACACTTGGTGCATTGAGATGCACATCTCTTGGTGCATATAGAAACAGTAGATTGTAAGTTTCTCATTTACTTTCGACACTTTAATCATACGCTTAATTATTATATTCATGGGAAAGAGCGTACCTAAAATTGAATCAAGGCCAATGAGGGCTCTTGTTCCAAGGAATTGAAGCTACCCGTCCCTAGGATAAAGCATGATTCTTTCGTCATTGTATGGCTCCTCCGTATTTAATGCTACTCCATGAATTCATTAATAGTGGCAACCCCCTTTAAGTGGGATAAGACTCAAAACAATGACTTCGTGAAGTCATTGGTAGGTTAACATTTCTTCTCTTGTCTGCAACTTAACCCTCAGTTGCTATAACTTTGTGGTGAAAGTCGCAGCTCTTGCCACCCAGGTCCGGGGATCACGTCACTGGCAAGAGAAGAATAAAAAAAGTATTGCAACGTAAAAGTATTTAAGGAATATTGCATATAGCCTTGACTAACCGGTAAAGGAAAGCCTCCAAATACATACATTTTACTGATAATTGTATAAAACCTGTATACAAGAACTAGTATCAAAGCTCAATTCTTTCGCTATCAGTTGTTCATAATTATAAAATTTACATCAATCACATACAAATAACAGCTGTTGAATCCTTAATACAGTACCTTCCTGTCCTCTGTAGGAAGAAAAAGCCCTGGAGTTGTGAAGATGCCTTAACCAAGGATGAAGCACTATTCACGTGTTTACTCATCCAGTTACTGAACTGACCCAACAATGCTTAACATGACTGATAGTGAAACGCACTGCGCCACACCACTTCCATACATTTAATGTTGATGATTTTACTTATAAAGCAAAATCACAAAGGTTGAATATTAAAAACTTCCAAAAGCTGCAATGCATATTTACACAAGCTGCCAATTCGTGTATATAAATAAAAGCTCAAGAAAAGATACATATAAATTATTACTAACGGAAGTAGTGGTCACAAAATTAATAACGGAATTTTCAATGTGGCGTTATAAATCGGAATTTAGGGCTGAAAGCAATGAGGTAGTTCAACAAATTTGGAAAAAGCTTTAATGGCCAAACTAGTAACTAGCTTGGTGCTCTGACTCACTGGGATTTAACGCTGTCTTGTCAATATAATAATAGTAACTGGATGTCTTTAAGTATAAATACTTTTTTATGGAATAAAATTTTAAATGACCTTACCTTAGAAAAGGGAAGGGCAAGGGCCTTAAAATTTTAAGTAATAATTAAGGTAAGTCAATAACCTGCCAGATATACCGTATATTACCGGCCAAGAGTGGTACCAAGTCATAAGATGCAGGGGTATAAAGAATAAAAAAGAACATCGTGACTGGAAAAATACACAAATAACCCGTACGTAGGACAAAGAAACTTATGACGACGTACACTATCTCAAATATTCAGATTTTTACTTACCCCTTGCCTTAAAACGTGGGGGTTATATTTTCAGGCCTCACAAATAGGAGTAAATTGGGTTTTTCTGCATTAGTAGTCAATAAAAGCAGTGTTTTCACATCCTGTGAGCTCAGCAGTAAGCTCACTGGCCCATGTCAAGAAGATTCTTCTTAGATCCAACCCTTTCCGCTCGTATATTTATTCCACTAATCTACATTATTATATTTGGGAGGGGAGTACCAAACCCATAGGATTATACAGAGCCAAGAATAAATATAAGGGATATAAATAACGTGCTACACATATTTAACCAAGACAGGACTCGCAGCAATGGGTTCAAAGTTGGAAAATTTAGATGTAGAAAGGTTATATTGGGTGTAAGACCTGCTTAGCATGGGCCAGCAGGCCTACTGCAGTGAGAAGGGTGGGATTTCAGGCCATCTCGAGAATGGGTTAGCAGGTATCCGGCAGTGCTCCTTTCTTCTTATGCTCTTACCTACCATCATTATTATTTTTTTTTTGTAGTATGAGTTCATAAGACGATAAGTATAACTCTAGGCACATTTATTTACGAAAAATAATGCGACGTATGGCCGGTAATATGGGTAAGCCACAGTATAAGGCTTTAAAAAGTGAACTGGAGATAGGTGAACATAATTTGAAGTACTCTTGAAGGCGTTAGGTAAGCATGAAATATACGATGATGGTCCCCAGTAAAAGCAACAACATAAAGTATGGTGTAGCATGCCATGCCCCACACGTCATACCATCATGACGTATCTCGAACTGAACTTGATTTGGGTATTCACACTTTTCATCTGAGGGAAAAAGTAATCCAAAGATTAGAGACAAAGTTGCTATTTTAGTTTTTATACTTCATAAATTTCTATATTCTATTAAATCTATTATTTAACCTTTGACAAGAGGAAAAGCCTTTTCTATGCTGCTGTGGTTTCACTGCCCGTGAAGAATGAACGCTTAGTCTTCCATAGGATAAGGGTTACCTTACCTATACATATCCTTAACAACCTTTATTTTTTTGCCGCCCCTCGCCATAATGCTGCTTCTATTTTTAGTGATTTCATGGCACAAGACTATTTCAAGATTCTACTTTCTTCAGTACAGAATGCTATGCTTTTTTTGTTATTCTTTACATTACGACCGTGTCTGTCACTGTTGCAGTTTCAGGATTTCAAAGTGCACTCGCATCCCATCATCGTTTACGTTAAAGGTTGACTGTGCTGAAACTTTAACATGCGCTTGAAGGTTGTCTTCTGTTGAGCCCCTGGTCACGCAGGAGTTTGGGGAAATAAACTTGCAGACGTTTCAGCGTGTTCCGCAGTTTCTGACTTTTTAATCTTCCAGGGCATTTGCCAATTTCCGACTACTTAACAAACCTATGTCAACCTTTTTGAGATCGTTTTTCTTATTAGTAACCCGTAAACTGTATTGAATAAAACCACAATTGGCTTTTGGCCGTTTCCAGCTCTGATGGAAAATGACCTCACTTTGCATTGGACACGCACGAATCGCACATGGTCATCTCGTGGGGAGGTACCTGAGGCCACTGCAAGGATTGTCAAGCTAACCTGACTGTCTAATAACTTATGATCGATTGTCCTGTTTACCAAAGAGCATTTTCAACTTCATTTCAGGCGCCTTTTAAAGCGTCATTAATATAATGGTATACAATACCAACAAGATGAAGCATTAGATACATATGCAACACCTGGGACTAAGGGACTGATTACCTTATCTTCCACTATCTTGTGTTTATAGTTCTGTAAGGATGAGAGACTGTCTTCCCGTCAAGTAAACATACCCAGTTGTTGCACATGTGCATTTCCTCACCTTATGCAGTACCTTGGCATGCTTACTTTGTCTGCCTTGCTCTCTGATCATCCCATTTTAATACAGACACGCTCATCTACACCAATTTATTTTACAACTACAAATGTTCTTCCCTCAACATCTGCACCTTTCCCTGTCCCATTTTGCACCTCTGCCATGTAATACTGAATAATTACTCTATTACGGGTTTAGCACCTTCCATTAATACGTATAATAATCCTGTAACGGTTTCGACTAATTGTTTCAAACATGATTCGGCTCATGTTATGAGTGGAAACACAGTGGTGGAGTATCCAGCTATCATTATATCTTCAGTATGCACTGCAGAACGCAATATTATCCTCACTACATTCGTCTTGATTGCTGTCTACAGTGACTTTCATACTGCTCTTTTAGCCGCTGGTGCAAAATGCCCCTATGCACCCTATGACCCTGACGATATATAGCCATGAGTATAATAAATTATAAATAATAATAATAGGATTTGGGTGTTAACCTCCTCTTTACACTAGTTATCACCGCTATAAAATGATCCTCCATATACTGTGGACTGTACACACGCACGTCTCGCTCATGGGCACCCTGATCTTGTGGTGTATCACTGATTTTTATTATTTTAATGGTATGCCTTTAGCTTCGTGTTTTTTTTATGATTCAGCATGGCTTTTTTTAACTACTGGAACTCTTGGGAGTAGCCTTCAACCTCGACAACTCTTGGGAATAGCTTTCAACCTCAAAAATTCTTGGGAGTAGCTTTCAACCTCAACAGCTTTTGGGAGTAGCTTTTAAAGTTGATAATTATAAATCTTATTTCAATGGTGTTTAATTTTTAAAGGTGTTCAATCTTTTATGAGACAGCTTCCATATATTTTTATAGCTCTAATTTTCTGCCTTCTGTTTTATTTTTCAAACTGTGTTTTTCAGGTGGTCTTACCTTGGGTGTTTGTATACTAGGACTGAATATGCTTTTATGTTTTTCTGTGATAACCATGAACATTAATGACTATCAGATCAAAGCATAAAAATTAATCATTATTCAGATACTTCACTAATTACCTCTGGGACCATTAATCAGCTTACCTTGGCACAAATTTCCAATACTTGGTTTGCCAGTTACAGATAAGTAGATTGGGTTACAATATTCCACATATCGTCCACACAGTTCCTGCCATTCTAAGTCGGAGCTTCCTTCTTGGCATGTGTAGTCATCAGCAGTACTAATTACATTCACACTCTCTCTGCTGGCGCAGATACTGATCTCTTGATTATTTATCTGCAGGTCCAAACACACAAGATAAGTCTTTGGATGAATTAATCATAAACGAAGTGAAGATAAAGCTAACAGAATACAATGCTATATGAATAAGCTTTTTATAATAAACTGTACTAAAATATATTCAGTTAATATCTTGAACGAGTTTTAATAATCGTGATAGATTAATTAAACTACAAAAGATTTGCTTGAGCAAAATATGTATACTACACTACTGTAACTGCTAAGAGCGTTAGCGCCTGTCATTATGATTTTACTTTACAACATTACTAGTATTATTACTTTTCATAATTGCTAATAAAGTTTATTTATATAGGGATCTTTATTCAACTGACCATTAGTTTGAGGTCTCCTGAGAATTTGAAATTCTGTGGGGCAATCTTGATGTATGTTGTGAAATTGGGTGATACATAGCCAGTGTAAACGTGGCTCTGTTCGTGGTAATTGGTGTAGAATTGGGTGTCGCACGCCGGGTACACAAACATAGAGGGGACTGCAAATTGAGGAAAAATGATAATGGTGATAAGTATAGGTCTAAGTCCTTACATATTCATGAAAATACAGAAACTAGTTTTTGTAGTTTATTTGGCAAAAAAGTAAGTGCAAAATTTATGCTAAATGCAGGAAAATAATTTGTTTTAACTATATACACACAAGAATTCAGATATCTGAAAATTCAAAAAAGGAATTTCGACCGCCGAATGATGTTGTAGAATACTGTTAAATGAATTTTTTATACACATACTACGTATGTCCCGCATACATAAATATATTCTGTATATCAGAAATCACACAGACTGTAAACTGAACTTACAGTGTGAAATTCTTAGCTTTGATGTCAGGACAGGAGTGACGCAGATTAAGAGTTATTTATTATGTAGAGAATATACTGTAGTAAAAGAAAATTTCTTACTTTTACAGATCCGATTAGCTAATGTCGTGGCAAATACTTCCATATCTTGTACGTTATTAGAGATAAAGTCAGTATCTGGGTCCAACATCATTTCAGTAAAGGAAGTCTTGCTCTTACCCACAAGAAGGAAATAAACATCTGTAAATTAAACAGAGTTGAAATGACTATTACAACCAGTATTTGAATAAGATTAAAATGTCCATACAATTTCAATAAATAATGCTAAACCTGTTTTGATACAGAATTTACGATATGAATACATACTCTTTAAAAGTCTTAACAATTGTTAGTGAGGTTACTGGATAATCTCCTGAGGTAGGTGCTTGCCGTATGCTGCTCATCCTCTTAACCAAAATAACCATATACGGTTTGCAGAAAATTTCTTTTACTAGGTTAGGCGGTTCTATATCCATAAAAAAATAACCAATAACATACTATACCACAATGAAACGATTATAAATACAAGATAAAGGCGAAAAAAGTTCTGCCTGGTTTTTTTTCCATATTACGATAATACTGGTGTGAAATTTCACTGAAAAGCCTTGTAGCTTCCAAAATGTTATACAGGACACAAAACAGCGATAAGAATTATGACAGCCACACTGTGAGATCCAGCACTGGGGCCCTGATGGTCACCAGGTCAAACATTTTTAACAGTAGTAGGTTGGTAGACAGCAACCGCCCACGGAGGTAGGTACTACCGTACTGCCAAGTGAGTGTAAAACGGAAGCCTGTATTTGTTTTACATGTTGATAGGATTGTTGGTGTCTTTTTTTCTATCTCATAAACATGCAAGATTTCAGGTACGTCTTGCTACTTTTACTTACACTTACGTCTCACTACACTTTCATGTACACGTTTATGTATACACACTCATCTGAGTTTCCTTTGATTTTATCTTAATAGTTCTTGTTCTTATTACTTTTCCTTTCATATCCATGGGGAAGTGGAATAAGAATCTTTCCTCGCAAAGCCATGCGTGTTGTAAAAGTCAACTAAAATGCCAGAAGCAATGGGCTAGTAACCCTTTTTCCAGTATAGCCTACTAAAAAGAAAAAGAAGAAAACTGTCAAAGTGAGATTTTTGAATGTGCGTTGGCTGAAGCACGAATGATAAAGATGACTGTGGATGTTATGAATGAAAAGAAACTGGATGTCCTGGCTCTAAGTGAAACAAAACTGAAGGGGGTAGGATAGTGTCAGTGAGGAGAAATAAATGGGATTACCTCAGGGGTTTCTAACAGAGTTAGAGCTGAGGAAGGAGTAGCAATAATGTTGAAGGAAAAGTTATGGCAGGAAAAGAAGGAATATAAGTGTATAAATTCAAGGATTATGTGGAGTAAAATAAGGGCTGGATGTGAAAAGTGGGTTATAGTAAGTGTTTATCCACCTGGAAAAGAGAGAAGTGTAGAGGAGAGAGAGATTTTGGGAAATGTTGAGTGAATGCGTGGGGAGTTTTGAACCAAGTGAGAAAGTACTTGTGGTTGGGGATCTCAATGCTACAGTGGGTAAAAATGTTGTAGACGAAGTAGTAGGTAAATTTGGAGTGCCAAGGGGAAATGAAAATGGGGAGCCTTTAATTGAGTATATGTAGAAAGAGGTTGGGTAATAAGTAATACATAATTTATGAAAAAGAGGGTAAATAAGCATACAAGAATGAAAGTAGTTTGTTAGATTATGTATTGGTGGATAAAAGATTGATGGTTAGACTCCAGGATGTACATGTTTAAAGAGAGGCAACAGATATATCGGGTCATTATCTAGTTGTAGGTACAGTTAGAGTAAAAGGTAGACGGGACAAAAGGAAAATGGCAGCATTAAGTAAGAGAGAGGTGAAAGTTTATAAACTAAGGGAGGAGGAAGTTAGGGTGATATATAAGCAACTATTGGCAGAAAGGTGGGTTAGTGCAAGTATGGGTAGCGGGAGGAGGTTTGAAGAAGGATAGTTTTAAGTATGCAGTATTAGAATGTGGGGCTTGTGGAGTTTGTAACTATAGGAGGGTGGGTGCAGAAGGAAAGAGGAGTGATTGGTGGAATGATGAGGTAAAGGGTGCGATAAAAAAGAAAAAGGTAGCTTATGAGAGGTTTTTACAAAGCAGAAGTGATATAAGAAGGGAAGAGTATATGGAGAGTTAAAGTAAGGTGAAGAAAGTAATGAGAGAGTGCGAAAGGAGAGCAAATGATAGAGTGGGAAAGGCACTGTCAAGAAATTTTGCTGAGAATAAGAATAAATTTTGGAGTGAAATAAACAAGTTAAGAAAGCCTAGGGAACGAATGGATTTGTCAGTTAAAAACAGAGTAGGAGAGTTAGCAGATGGGGAGATGGAGGTTTTGGGTAGATGGCAGGAATATTTTGAGGAACTTTTAAATGTCGATGAAGAAAGGGAGGCAGTAATGTCATGCATTGGCCAGGGAGGTATAACATCTTTTAGAACTGAAGAAGAGCAGGATGTGAGCGTGGGGGAGGTGTGTGAGGCATTACGTAAAATAAAAGGGGGTAAAACAGCTGGAACTGATGGGATCATGATAGAAATGTTAGAAGCAGGGGAGATATAGTGTTGGAGTGGTTGGTATTTTTGTTTAATAAATGTATGAATGAGAGGAAGGTACCTAGGGATTGGCAGAGAGCGTGTATAATTCTTTTATATAAAGGGAAGGGGAGAAAAGAGATTGTAAAAATTATAGGGGAATTAGTCTACTGAGTGTACCAGATAAACTGTATAGAAGGGTTATTATTGAAAGAATTAGAGGTAAAACAGAGAGCAGGATTGTTGATTAGCAGGGAGGCTTTAGAATGGGCAGGGGATGTGTAGATAAGGTGTTTACATTGAAGCATGTATGTGAACAGTATTTAGATCAAGATAGGTAAGTTTTCATTGCATTTATGGATTTAGAAAAGGCATATGATAGAGTGGATAGGGGAACAATGTGGCAGATGTTGCATGTGTATGGTATAGGTAATAAGGTACTAAATGCTGTATAGAGTTTTTATGAGGATAGTGGGGCTCAGGTTAGGGTGTGTAGGAGAGAGGGAGATTACTTCTCAGTAAAAGTAGGTCTTAGACAGGGATGTGTAATGTCACCATGGTTATTTAACATATTTACAGATGGGGTTTTAAAAGAAGAAATGCTAGGGTGTTGGGGAGAGGGGTGGGATTAAATTATGGGGAATCAAATACAAAATGGGAGCTGACACAGTTATTTTTTGCTGATGATACTGTGCTTCTGGAGGATTCTAAAGAAAAATTACAAAGGTCAGTTGACGAGTTTAGGAGGGTGTGTAAAAGTAGAAAGTTGAAAGTGAATATAGAAAGAGTAAGGTGATGAGGGCATAAAATGATTTACATAAAGAAAAATTGGATATCACATTGGAGGGAGGGAGTATGGAAAAAATGAATGTTTTCAGCTATTTGGGAGCTGACTTGTTAGTGGATGGGTTTATAAAGGATGAGGTAAACCATAGAATTGATGAAGAAAAAAAGGAGAGTGGTGCACTGAGGTATCTCTGGAGACAAAGAACGTTATCCATGGAAGCAAAGAATGGAATGTACGAGAGTATAGTGGTACTAACACTCTTATATGAGTGTGAAGCATGGATTGTAAATGTTGCAGTGAGGAAGTGGCTGGAGGCAGTGTTGATATCGTGTCTAAGGGCAATGTGTGGTGTAAATATTATGCAGAGAATTCGTAGTGTGGAAATTAGGAGGAGGTATGGAGTTACTAAAATATTAGTGAAAGGGCTGAAGAGGGCCTGTTGAGGTGGTTTTGTCATTTAGAGAGAATGGAACAAAGTAGAATGACTTGCAGAGTGTATAAATCTGTTGGAGAAGGAAGGCGGGGTAGGGGTCGTTCCCAGAATGGTTGGAGGGAGGGGTTAAAGGAGGTTTTGTGGGCGAGGGGCTTGGACTTACAGCAAGCGTGCGTGAGCGTGTTAGATAGGAGTGAATGGAGACGAATGGTTTTTGGGACCTGACGATCTGTTGGAGCGTGAGCAGGGTAATATTTTGTGAAGGGATGCAGGGGAAACCGGTTAGCCGGACTTTGTATATTGGCAGCTTGGAGGGATGTCTAAACTGTCGTATCTGAGCGCCTCTACAAAGACAGTGATTATGTATGAGTAGTGGTGAAAGTGTTGAATGATGAAATTTTTTTTCTTTTTGGGTCACCCTGCTTCGGTGGGAGACGGCCGACGTGTTGAAAAAAAAATTGTAATCTTTGGTTTTCATTCATGTATCAACTTTTTGGTCCTTTTGTTCGCCTTAGTTTCGAAGGATCATCAAGAAGCTTCATTAATGAGAGCATAATAAAGTTGTCACATAATTAAAAATGATACCTGGTAGCTCAGTAACATTATTTAATATACTCATGGGGAAGCATCAAATCCGTACAGTCATACGTGCCTGTGGAGTGAGAAGGTTGGGGAGAATCAGATTTGATCTACGGAAAGGATACTTTTAATTCTTTAAATCAAGAGTCTTACCAGCATCAAGGCCTTGAAGGGTAGTTCAGTAGTAATGACACGTGAATAATTAGTCGAGAAGTTAATGGAAGTTTTTTTCTGGGTGGGATAAGGGGACAAGATAACAAAAGGGTGGATGAAACAGCGTATTGCAAAACTTCTTTTGGGACGTTTTACTGTGCACAAAGTTAAACGATGTCCCATGAAAACTTGTTCTACAAACTGCCTTCTTTGCATTTTTTTTTTTTGCCCGTGATCCGAGGAATTGAATTTATCCTCCCCTTCTTTGGGTCTAATTTCTCAGTCGCTGTATGGTTCCTGTGGGTTTAGCGTTTCAAATAAAATAAAATTTAATTCCATATTTACGATAATGAAACTGATTCAGTAATTGCGACTTGTTCTTGGAGATCAAGGTCATACTTTTATTTTATAGGTCTACTGTCTATACTGATAAGCATATAGTTGTACAAATTTATTTTCAACAGTTTAAGAATAATGGAACAGATAAAAATGTTCCATTTGATATTCCAGGGTATATTAGTGTTGATTTTTTGTTTTTATCATTACAGTATTATTATTAGCCAAATCATGCACATGAATGTGAATTCATGTGTATGAGAAAAAGTATCAATTACAAATTATACCTTCGGGTACTTTTGATCATACTTTGGGGTTCTTAGGGA